TAGGAAGTCATGATTAAGTCCACAAAGAATGTAAAAAAAATCATTAAAGTGAAATATGACAAAAATTCTTGATGATCTCCCCAACTTTATTTGACTATCAAATATGAAAGGAAAACATGGCACTCATTCTTGTCAGGCTCACTGGCATGAGTTTCTTCTTTAATTCTGGTAGTCGCTTCAGTTATCCCCCTTAGAAAGGAAAAATGAAAAAGATGCTTGTATGCTTGCTGGCCAAATTCCTTCCTTGATGAATCTTCTTCTCCCCACCCACCACACACAAACCAGCCGCTCTACGACTAAAAAGAAGAGAAAACGAGTGGAAAAAATAAGTTTTGGAAGAAAGCTATACTAGAAAACTTGAGGCTTACACAAATTGACAGCTTAAACTGTTACATTTTAGTTTGAACAAGTTAGACTTTTAGGTTTACAAATTAAAATAAATAAAATCTTAAAAAAATTTCAACCCATTTCAGCCACCTCTACCACCTGTTCTGCTGGTGGGCACCATCATTGAAATTGTTTCCTGATTCACGTTTTCTAAGCAACTTTCCCCTAATAATCCATCAAAGAGAGAGATTAGAGCAGAGAGAAACCACCGCTTTTTACTATGACCTGGAGGTTTTTGATGTTTCTTCTCGATTTGTCTGTCTTTCTGCAGAATTTTGGCAACTGATAGCCAGTTAACAAACCAAAGGTTTAATTCTTTTCAATTTGTAAATCATAAATTAATTTATATTGGACTTAAAAACAAAAAAGTTAGTGTTATTATTTTGTGTGAACCTCAGTATTTTAGTGTAATCTTTTGTGCTTTTGTGTTTTAATTTTACTATATTTAGTTGATTATTATGCACTCTTAGATTTTATTTTATAAAGGAGGAAATATTATTAAGTTAGAGAACACAGTTACAAACTAAGGGAAGATAAGCTATTTCCCATAAGAATAAAAGAGTAAAAAAAGAAGAAAAGTAGCAGGAATGAAGTAGATTTCTCAACAGAAAATAGCATTCCAATCCATTTGTACTGTCCCTATAAATTATTGGCATTAGCCCGAAGAGAACCAAAAGTATACCACCTTATCTGAAACACCTTTAATCAATTGAAACCGTTGTTTAAATTTTGAGGAAGATCCCTTGATCTGGAGAACATGCCAAGAAGCACAAGAGGAACAAATAAATTTTTTCCAGATGCTTTTGAACCATCCATCAGTGGAGAAACAACTGGCTATTGTATTTGGAGCTCAAAAAGCACATCAAACACACATATGGGAAGGAGCTTTTGGGTTCTACAAGCTTGAAGTAGACAATTAATTTTAATTTGAATTAGACCAGCAGTTAAATGATTAACTTTTATTTTAGATGTGGAGTTTTCGCTTTCAGAAAAGCGGGAGAAGCAGCACATCTGAGCTGGTAGGTACAAGTAAAATCAGAAAGTATTTGCAAGTGTAAAATCCTAAAGAATATTGGCTCCTACCTTTTTTTTGGGTAAAAATCAGTAGAGGAGTTGGAGGGAAGGAAAAGAAAATTTGGATTACTAAATTTAAGGAAGAACATGAAATTATTGTTGTTGTATTCGTTTGATTTATGCACGTGAACGAAAAGGAGAGAGTAAATGATAAAAATATCATCATGTTATCTTTTAGTTAAAAAATAATAAGATTGACGGTTAAAGAAAGAAAAGAAAAGGAAATTGTTATTAAAATATTTTAGCTCTTTCTTTTTCTATCATTTTTCTTCCAAACAAAGGAAAATGAGTGTTTAAAGGAAATTGATGGATACTTTTTTCTTTTGACACAGAAAATGGAGAGATGCTTACCATTTCAATTTTAACTTGTTTATTTTTTATGCAAACAAGTAAAAGAATGGTATTATGTTATGTTTCTTTTCCTTGTCTCATCCTCAATCCTAATATAGTGTTAGCTCTAAATTGCAAAGCGAAAGTGTGTACTACCACCTAAGGACTTGCCCCCTGGTACTTTTTATTTGCTTTTTAAATTTCAAGGTTCTGATATTTGAGATCTGCATAATGTGTGGCCTGTATGCATCTTAATGTATTTGTCTGCTTGTTGAAATGTTTCTTGTTAGTTCGAGTCAATAGTTGGGGTTCTAATAGAAGGATGGTTGGTTTTAGTTTAGACACTTCCAAAAAAAGGATGGTCTGAACTATTTGCACAGCATTTTTTGTTTCCTGGATGATATTGCATAATTCGAGTGAATTTGGACCTAGTAAATATGCTTGCATCCTCAAGAATCTCTATTGTTTCCTAAGCCGGTGCTTGCTACAACATGTCTATGACTGTTGATTAAAGTTCAAATTGAGATTTCTCCAGTAAGTTGTATGTTCTGGTGGCTGTTTGATTTTTAAGTTTCTATGCTTATGTCGCTGTTCATTTTTATATATTTTCATTCTCAATATCTCTTTATTTTAGGTATAAACTGTTAATCTTATTACTCTTTCCTTTCATATAGCTTATATCATGTAGTATTCTGTGAACCTGATTTCCTTTTTGGTTAGGCGAACTCATGGTGGGCGAAAGTTGTGGGAGTCCAAAGATGATAGAAAATGG